GTCTTGTTAATAGAAGAAAAACAACTTCGTCCCTACTTTTACTCTCCATCATGTGTTTTAATTTAACACTGTTTTTTTTTTCAGCCTTGGTTTATGGCAGCTTTACACACCATTTGTATGTAAGGCACCGCCTCTTCGACTTCAGAATAGTACATATGGGGCGCAAATACAACTCCCAAGCAAAATAAATAGAATTCATATATCTGGCATTAGCTAGCAGGATATAGGTTATCATTTCGTTTAGTGCAATTGTGTGTAGGTTCTCGTTAAATGTAATTTTCCGCAGATTTTGTCATATGCAGCAGCAGACTGCAAGCAGTGCTTGCCGCACTCAAGTGTGGTTAAGTTATCCGTGTCGCTTCATTGGTCACCCAGGCCTGCTGCAGGACACTCCTGGCCAGCCACTAGTTCCCATCTCCTGCCTTTTTTGAATGTAATTTGCACTTCTCTGGGCAACATTTCAGAATTTAACCAATGTCCTGGTAGGCTGACTGGCTGGCTGGCTGGCGGGCTTGCTTGATATCTCTGTCTTCGATGTATGCAGTACCTTTTCTGTAAAATTGGCCAACAATTTTAAGTGGCAAAAATGTACACACTTACACACACTCATTTATTTCATAGCCAGGACAATCGCACAGCTGAGCGGAGTTTTTACCGAAACAGTTTTGTTGATGGGCAATGGATTTATACAAGTGGGCTGGGTTGGATTGTGTTACCGTAGCCAAATGCTCAGATAATTGCACTTAACAGTTGGCATATGAACATTTATTACATGCCTCGTGCCACACGCTGCATGCCACATTTACTATTGCTTTATTTTAAACGCTTTTGGGGCTCTCTCGCTCTGGCCAGGATTAGTAACACCATGGCCACAGCGTGCATGTCGCTGCAACCAAAGAGGCACGTAAATGCGCGTCATTGCGTCACTCTATCTAACGCTCTCTTTCTTGCACATCGTTCCGGTTCTAACTGTCTCGATGTCTACCATAAATCTTGCTAACCTGCATTGTCCTGCGGCCGTCGCCGTCGCAGCCTTTGAAATGCCAGTTCAACTTGCCCATAAGTGGCTTAAATGTTGAATTCCAAACACAATGCGAGCAACAAAAAAAAAGGACATGGCGCTGCCGTTCACAGGACGAGTCAGCCATTGTGCCAAGTGGCAAAGCATGTGCCTGGCTTCGCATCGCAGCGCATCCGTCGCCAGTCGCATCGGCATGGCCATCGCCGTCGCCATCGCCTGTACCGTGTGCCATGAATGTCCTTATAAATTGTCTGCAATGTTAAATGTTGCATACCCCTCTGTCTGCCTCTCTCTGACTATCTTTCTGCGTGGGCTGCCTCCCCATTTTTTCATTGCAGCTTTGCCAGCTCCATAGAAATTTATGGCGTTGCCACACAACGAGCACTCCGAACACTGGCTACTGGCAATGGTAACCGAGCATTGCAACCGCTCCTGCTACGATTCCACTGCCACTAATCAGCACACGTTTTAGTTGGCGCTGCCAAGTAGCGGAAGCTCAAATTGTTAAAAGCAATAAAGCTAATAAGTGATGTGGCAAATGTGCAGCCTTGCCACAGTAAATCTCTCTCGCACTCTAGCACTCTCTCGCCCGTTTACCCATTTTCTATAGCTTTTCTGTCTGCGTCTATGTGTATTTCTGGCCATGTATAGGTGTTTCATCCATTTCAGTTTCTGTGCCGCTTTCAAAAAACTGAAGCCTCTTCGAGATGGGCACGTGAAAAATGTAAAGTACGCGCCTAAAATATGAAATTAATGAGTCATAACGAATTATATTAAATTAAAAATATTAGCAATTAGCAAGAACATTTTTAATTAAAGCTACTGAAAATGTTTACTCAATAAATTGAAACTTTCTTAAAGCCTGTGCAAGTTCTAACAAAAATTTAGTAAAGCGCTTTAGAGCAAATGTTTTAAAGAAAGTTAAGCTTAGCTTGTGTCTGTTATACTGATACATTATTAGAAAATAACAAGAGGAGATATCCCTAATATTGCCATCTGACAAAATGACCATTTAGTTAGTTTAAAAAGCACTTGGCAACTCATTTAGAGCGTTTTATTTTTAATTCTAGAAATTGCCGACATATTTCTTCAACCCTTTGCAAGCTTACACTTTTATATTTTACAATAAAATTGTATGTTTACGGCAGGCATGTGGTCCATACCTAGCTCCGGCGCTAGTTGCCAACGGGAAATCAGCAATTAGCGACAGACCAGATGCCCCGCTGTTACCTTTCCAGCTGGTTATGAAGCTACCGGCGTGTAGATAGGCAGTAGGCAATACAGCAACACAACCGACAACCACCCCAGCCACACCCATCAGTGGAACAGGCACGCATTTCCGCCAGCGCCAACTGCTTCCGGTGGCACTTTGCACTTTGAGTTGGCTATTCGACTGCGGCTTCTGTTTGTACGGCCATTGTGGGCTTCTCTCCATCATCTCTTCCACAGTCTCCACATCTACATCCACATCCCCATACCCGTCTCCTTCCTTTAAGTTCATACGCTCGACCTGCGTCATGTAATTTTATGACTAATTAGTCAGCTACTACGTCAAGTTTGCAACTACATAAAGCTTAAGCATGTCGGCAGCAGCAGGGTGGCAGGGTGGCTGGGTGGCAGGGTGGCAGGGGGCCATGCTTGTACTGTGCTCTGGATACGACATTCGTTTAGTTAAAGTCTACAACGACTGTGGGCGTTACTTGATCATAGGGCGTGGCCATTTATTTGCTTTGCTGCGCTTTTAATTGCTTGCAAGCAGCAAATTTTCTGCTGTAGCATTTTTATGGCATGCGTCGTCGTCAACAACAACAGTAACAGCAAACAATTGCCTTTCGGTATGTCTACAAAGTTGAATTGCAGGTTGTTAGTTGCCTTCTGCCAGATGGCTTTGTTTTGTCTTTTTTGCCTTCATCGTCTGACATCCTTTGTTCTTATTTGGCTTTGCGTAATTTAGCAGCATAAAGCAGAAAATAGCAATTTGAAGACATTTTTCAACTCGCTTCAACAACTTCTTTAAGTGCAATTTGCAGTATATTGTGATTATTGCTTTAAAATAGCTGATTTCACAGTTTTGGTGCTCAATAATGAATCCAAACGCAAATTGAAGAATTTTTTGTTGAGAACTTAAATTATTTATTAATTAAATGTGAAATAAGAAAATTCACTCTCTAAAAAAGGTTTGAAAAATAATTTGAATTTAATATTTATTTATATTCTTAATTAATTATATAATAAATTTGGATTAATTTGACAAATATTTTGCAAATTGTAATGATATCAAATGTATATCAATATTAATATTAAATTAATCATAATTTATCTTCTTCACACAAAACCAAATAATAGGTAATTTGGGTAAAAAAGTGCGTTACAACTGCTACTTGATTTCAACTTCCTGTTCTAAATATGCGAACCAAGATTAGCCAAATTCTCAACTTGGTTTTAATAAATAATAGTCAAGTTATGTATAACAACGAAAAAAATGTTAAATTTATGACTGACAAACAGAGGACAAATTATTTCCGCTACCAAATTATCCACTTCCGTTGCATGTACATCCAGATATGCCCAAACACAGCCCTCACCGCTCATCCCCAGACAATTGTCGAGCTAACTACGAACAAAGTTAGCCGACACCTGCAGCAGGGCTACTCCCAAACACACACACACACACCATACAGTCCCTCCGGCGAGAACCGGGTGAACGGAAGATAGCTTCCAAGTTGAGGTTAGGCGAACTTGAGAGTCCTGACAGGTTGGAAGGCGGACTGAATTTTAAAAATACATACGAAATTTAAATGACAAGCAACTAATGGAAATTGTTAACAATTTTCAATGGCAGCTGACAAGTAATTTCGCCAACCGACAGCGACCGCTGCGACTTGAGCACCAACCTTTGCATCAAAGCTCAGCTAACAGCACAACAAATGGCTTCATTTATTTGCGTCTTTTGTGTAGTGTTAGCGCTACTTCCCCCACCACTGCCAGCCAGCGCGGGCGTGAGCAGCTGAAGAAATCTTGATTTACGTTAAGCACGCCTTCACCACCTTCTCTCGCCAGGCGTCGAGTGTGAAAAGTTTGCCTTAACGCGAACAGTTGCCATTGTGGGTTGCCCTTTTCAAATACCCTTTCATTATAATTTTAAGATAAAAATATTACGATAGTTTTTAATTCTACTTTTTTTACTTAATACAGATTTTGTCTATTGCTTACTAAGATAGTACATATTTAACTGATTAGAGTCCAATTTATATCAAGTGTGCGAATCGTAACAAAAATCAACTTAATTTCAGTGATTATGGAAATCAGTGCAGTAAACTTTTGCAAATTTTATAAAAACATAAGACTACCCTTGGATAGGGTAGTAAAATGTTGGCAGTAGCGTCCGAGAGTACAAGAAATAAATATTTATATAAAAGAAAGTGTAAAGTTTTGAGTTGCAGATTTTGTTGTTGCTGTTGCAGCACTTGCAGTGATTGAATGTCCAACAGGCATTAATGCTTCCGTTTTTTTTTTTTTTTTGTGAAGTATTTTTGCTTTAGAAAACTTGAGTTTGGGTACATGTCTAGAAATAAAAATCGCACTTACAGTTTTTCCCAAAAAGTTGTAACTGGTGACATCCTTAGGTTTGATAGCTGCATTGCGCCACCGAATCAAAAAATATTCACTCACACAGACATTTTTCAATTTTTCTTTTAACAACCCGTATTATATGATTAAATTTAATGTCAATTTTATGAATGTTTTCAATACATACTTCCTTTTTCAAAATATTAAGCACATCGCACATCGCTTTACATATCTTAGATGATTCCATATATGCAGTGGAAATTTAAAAATAATAATAATAATATAATTTATTGCTGTAATTTACATTTGTAATACAATTTGATTGATTAGTAAATAAAATATTTGTTGATGTTTGAAAATAAATGTCCAATTTAAAAACACGAAACAATCTTTTTTTAATTTTAGCTGACAACTTTTTGCTTGAAATTTAAAAGAATATTAATGAAATAAAAGAATATTCTGTTTATAGTTTATATCTATTATACTTCAGCTTATTTTTAATTCTGTCGTTAAACTGATTCATATCAATCAAACTTTGAGTATTTTGAATGTGAGTTAGGGAATAAATTTTCTCATCTCTTCTGTGCACTACAATAGGTTCACCCAAAGTTTTCAAATTCGTTTGCATATTGCTTTCGGTAAAGTTGTTCAAGCAAATCGGTCGCACTTTTGCCGAGAGTACAAATGGATTTATCACTTTCAGAAGTGCTAAAGGATTACTGTAATTAAAAAATTTATTAGTTATGGTATATAATTAGTATATTAAATTCATTGGCTTACAATTTATCCAACTCGATATGGGCAACATTACTGGTTTCGTAGCCGTGTTCTACCCCTGGAAGGAATGTAACTGAATGATTGCCCAGGACTATTACATAGTTAATAGGTGCAATCGGATGTCTTGAAAAGCAGTCGGCCGCAGTCAACACATAAAATGGATCAATAATTGCGCCCAGGCAACGGAATACATATGTATGCCCCAATCGCTCGAATATGCTGATAAGCCATGGAAATTTATCAACTGTATTTAAATATCTGCCGCAGTCGGGAATGCATTTCATTTTCCCATGTTGTTGGTTGCTTCCACTTGTCAGCTTAACCCATTTTGCTTCAATATCACAGATGCGCTCACTTTGTGCAATGGTACCACTCGACTTATAGCCCGGAGCACACTGGACGATTGCTCTGCTGCCCACCACTAATGGGTCTGAGACACAGTCGATGATGTTATTGTCATTAATACAAGAAGCTCGAATACTGGGATCATTTATGATCGTATGACGTCTGCAAACCCTCACGCATTCTGGCCATGGTGCCTTCCACTGACCATTGTCGCAAGCATTCACATCGTCGCCCATGAGGAAGTGGTTCTGAGTACAGGACAGGCGCACAGTGGTCTGATGAGAAATGGTTCCGTTGCCCATATATGGAGGATCGTTGTACATGGTCCTTAGCCGCAGTGCAGTTCCCGTCACATTGCAACGCTTTCCAGTAGTTTGTGGCTTGGTTTCAGTAGTTGGAATCGGAATAAGTGTTTCATGTTCAATTTGCCTTCGTTCAACGTACCATTTCTCATTTGAGGTTATATTATGCCACTTTTTGCATATGGCACCCAGCTCATCGGAGCCGTCGTGACAATCGACAACGTGATTGCAGGCCTCCGATTTGCGAATGCAGGCACCGTAAGCGCAGACAAATGAGTCTTCACGACAAAGGATTCGTGAACAATATTCATGACTTTCATCTGATTTATCGCTACAGTCCGCAACGCCATTGCATTGCTGACTCTCAAGCAAACATTCCTTCGATTCTTTGCATTGAAATTGCGGAAAATTAGGATTACTGCAGAAGTTTGTCATTAATAATTAATCAAGACTTAATTCAATTACATTTTAGAGAATTTGCTCTCATTTTATGTGGCACTTACCGGCAGTCACCAACCAATTTCTCAAAGACTGAATTTTCATCTGGGAAACATTCGAACCAGTTCTCATCAGTACCATCCCAGCAATTGGGTATGTCATCACACATCTGGGAGCGCTTGAAACATGCGCCGTAGGCGCAGTGTCTTTCTATACACTCCATATCATGACATTGCGCAAATGTCTCATCACTGCCATCCTGACAGTCCTTAGACAAATCGCACTTGCGAGTAGCATCTATGCACTGCCCATTGTCGCATTGGAATTGGCCATCATAACAGTGATTTTGTTGTTGTGCATCTGCGCAGGCAGTAAATATTACGATCAATAATGGATTTGGCCGCGTTCAACACAATGATTGATTATTTAAATTATTGATTAAGAATGTTAAGAAAATAAACTTTACCACTTTGCAGGCATAGAAGTACCAGGCAAATGCTCAATACTTCTATATTAATAGCTCGAAACATTTAAGTAATGCTGATACGAAATGTGAATTCTTAATTTGAATTTCTTTCACAATATTCCGTTCCTTTAAATTTCGACTGTTCGCGTTTGATTATCTTTGCATACTGAGTCATAAAAACTGTTTGCCCATTTGACATCGAAACTCAAAGATTTGGAACACATATATGAATCACTTACGTGCAATAAATATAATGATTAATGTGCTTCGTACTTATTAATATATATGAGATTTTTACTTTTGCTTATACATACATCTGACGTAATAATTTAGTGCTCTGTCGTCTAAAAACATTGGCAATGAAAGCGTTTTGGTCGGGGTGAAATTTAAATTTAAAGATCGTCGATCAACTTAGTTGGAATGGCCTTAATATTTATGATTTGAGATTTGAGTTTTAAGAAAATTAGCAAATCAAGAATAAACCCAAAGAATTTGTTTCAGTGTTGCATTTTTTTTATTGTTGCTACCCCGGATTCAAAAATGGGAGCAGAGTATCGTGCAGTTGCCAGATTTCGAGAGTAGTTTTGTTGACAAAAAGTTTCATAATTTGCAGATATTATCTGTACATCTTAGCTTTATATATATTTACGCAACAACAGCCAAACATTTATGATTGATTTATATTTACATACAATTTAAATGTACTTGAGAATATATTTACTTTCCCTTTAATGGGATTTTGTATTTGCGGTTTCCAATTCATCCAGTTGCAAAGAGTCAACTTTAATTTGCATTCAACAGTAGAAACAAGTTTTTTAATCAAATGGCTGGCAACGAGCGCGTGTTGAAACATTCAAGTGTGAAAAACTAGCTTTGAACAATTTTCTAACAAAGCCAGAAAATGCTATGCAGAGATATATCATGTATAAAACTCCCACCCTCAAGAATGCGCTAGTCGATAGAGCTCGCCTGGGGCATACCCTAATAATTATATTGAATCCATTGAGATACAGGTTCTTTAAAATGCTTGCTTGCTGCTAGTTTGCTCAATATGAAAATACGTTTTGCGACATAAAATGAGAAATGAGTCTTGATGAAATTTGTACAGTTGGAAATAGGAAGGCTATATTTTTAACAATGTGGCTTTTGTTGCAAGCGAATTTTGATTTGCATTGATATCCGTGTAACGGGGAGAGTTATCGTTAAAATTAAATTTATCTGCGTAGAGTATTATAAATTTACAGTATTATAAATGTACAAAGATCGGTGCGCTCATACAGACAAATGGACATGGAGGTTGATCAAGAGTTTACTCTGTTGCATTCTTTTCACAACTTCATTATACCCTTTTAAGGGTGAAACAACAATGAATTCGCAGCATGTTTTAGCTGCGTTGATCGACTGAACTTTTCAATTTATTTGTCAATTGGAAAACGGAAAGATGAAAAATAAACGAAAATATATAATAAGATATTGTCATGAATCGGTTTTCTATTTCACATCACTCTACTGAAACATAAATTTTGAACTAATGAAACATAAACTCCGAACTGAAATTTAGATGTTCTTTCTTGATCAAGATAGGCGCAGACAAATCTGTCCTCTAAATCTCATCTTATAGCAGCTACATAAAATAGTAATACCAATCGGGTATCTCTGACATTTGTATATACTGACTTCAGCAAAATGTTTTATATATACTTGGATTCATCACGATTACTTTAGAGCAGACAGACAGATATGGCCATATCGACACTATAAGTTCACTAGACGATAACCACTGCTATTGGAATGTGTGGTTGGAAATTAATTTAGATGGCAAGTTTGAAGTATTGAGCTGAAAGCGGAGACTTGTCAATGCTGTATTAAAAATTAAAATGCTTACAGCAAGAAAAGCTAGCATTTGATGTTTGCCACATTGGATAAAGGGCATATAGGGATGCCGGGAATAAAGAGTGCACAAGTGTCAATGGAATTGTTTGCAAATTGACAAACAAAATGCGCTTTTGTGATTTAGCAACGACAATCGGCTTTTCGCATGGCCAAAGGGGAGCATACGATATATGGATTGACATGAAATGACACACACACTTACACACACACACGCATACATCAGCGTACACACATACTGACAAATGGGCACAAATTGCACTAGTTGTTGTCGTTTCTATTATTTTCTTTATTGAGTGTTGTTACTGAGTTTTTGTTTTGTAGTTGTTGTTTTGTTTCTGTCGCAACTATGTCAACAGCAACAATAAAAAACACGATATAAAATCTTCTATGTGGAATTACTATAATAATTTAATTGATTGATTTGCGTCCGCACACACTCTTATAAGAATATGTAAAATAATCAATATTAATAACTGTTTGGTCAAACTAATTCAAACAGCTGATCACTCAATATCAGCTGTCAATTTATCGCGGCTTTGCATAACACTGGTGGAACCTATTCACTTATTTTAACAACACTTGTAATTTAGTAAAACATCGATAGTTCACTATCGAATTAGCCCAAGTTGTAATAAGAACTAGAACAAGCAACGCGCGCAACTTTGTGTAAGAAAAATAAAGTGTTAATTAAAATAGTTAAATACCGCCCAAACTTGAAGTCTCGTGTGTGCATAAAAAACGCTTTGTGCACCGAACAATAACAATAACAATATCTCTGATAAAAAGAACGACATAAATAATTCGAAATATATTGTGAAATATTGACACAAGGTTAACAGTTAATAACAAAATTACAAATACAAACATTAATAAATATATTAAAGCAGCAGAATGAATAAATGATGTATTAATAATTTAATTTAAGAACTAACACAAAAATACTATATAATGTTGAATTTCGAGTTGGTTTCAAGCCCGTTGTATCTGTAATCCTCACCAGCGTAGTGTAATGCATTTGCGCTATTGAACACTATTCCCAAAGGAACAACTTATTTTAATACTTTTTTATGAAAAATTGTTTTGCTTAGCATGATGTTAGTACTGATACTGATTTGTTGAGTTACCAAATAACTTACAAATAATTTAATTTATTAGTCACCAAAGAGTCACCAAATAACTTACAAATACTTTAATAAATTATTTTCATATATTTCACATACAGACACCAAGAAGTTAGGAAATCGATAAAATGTGAAGGAAGGTAACTAGCTGGTAACCTCCATCAAAGGTTCAAAACACGCGCACAGCATTTAGATCGGATAAAAAATAACCAAGTTTTAGTTCAAAATATATCTCATTTCTATCAGCAGTCGCAAAGAGATGGCTCCGATATCTACAATTGCCTGTACATATGTATGTATATATCCAAGTATGAATGTATGTATGTATGTATGTATGTATGTATGTATGTATGTATGTATGTATGTATGTATGTATGTATGTATGTATGTATATGCATGCATTTGTCGCCAGCCAGTTGGGATCAGTTTGGGCTTGTGAATAAAAACATGCGCTGCATTCGTTTTTTCTTTTACTCTTCAGTGCCTGTGCTTGCTATAAGAAATGAGTGCACTTGCAGACCTACTGACATTTGGGTGTAAAACTTTTTAAAGAGAAATTAGCCAATAAAATTAGAATATATTTAACAGCTGGGTTCAGAGTATATCGTACTCGAGCTCACTCGACAACAGCATTCTTACTTGTTTTTTTTTTAAACAGTTTTAATGAATTATTGCAGTATTGCAAACACCGACAACTTTCAACATGATCATATATCTAAGAATCGTTGCTCCCAGCACTTAGTCATCAGCAGATGCCCCAGCGGAACCTACAACACAATCTTGCGGCCAAACAAAGTAAAAAAAATAGTCGGCAAAACTTTTAGCATAAGTTTTCGTCGGTCCTGGGACTTTGAACTGTGGCGGGGTGCAGTGGAGCAGAAAAAGAGTGGGGGTTTTAGCTGGCTTTTATCCAATTAAGTCATAACTCAATATGTGCTGAGAGATATGCACTTGGTCATTACTTTAGCAATGGCAAAAATGTAGCTCTAATAACTTTGGAGCTGCAGCTTCTTCCATCTTATTTTTGGTAGCAGGCAGATAATTTCACACCCCACAAGTGGCACGCCCAGAAACCGGGGCCACATCCATATTGCAGGCTGCAGGCAGCAGCACGTAATTATGTAATTTGCAGGGTAGAGCTCTGAGGTAGTTGGTACACTCAGAAAATAATATATAACTTACAAAATTCAACTCAGACTAAAATCTCACTTAAAATCTCAATTGCCAAAACATACTTACAATCAAAATATGGTCTAATATAGGAACTTTTTGATTAAAAAATTCTTTTGTTTTAATTTGGAGGTCACTTTTTATTTCTAAGTGATTCCGAAATTTTATTTTGAGCTGAGCAACAGCATTCGGGTGCTGGCATTGGGTTTTACGGCACCAGCGAGACGCTGCCACAACTCATTTGGCGTTGACCAGGACTATGTTGTTGCAACCCCTCCCTGCTCTGCCCTCCCTTCAGCCCATTTACTGTGAGTGGCTGGTTGCTGCTTCAACTATATCCATCTGCAGTTGAACGCGCGCATAAATTATTCATTTATAATGTGCAGCAGCACTCGGCGATGGTCTGCACTGCCGAAGGCTGTGCATGGTGGGGAGTAGGGTGTCAGTCTGTGTGTGCACTTTTGGCACAGGATATGACACTGACACTCAACGCTCGTTGCTCGTCCTGCGTCAACAACTTCCTAGAGGCAACTGGACTGGGATCGTGAGTCTTGATCTAGGTCGGGGGCTGCGCTCTTGGCGTTTACTTTTGGTGAGTAATTTCCTTTTGGAGTTTGTGGCGCCAAAACGAAGGCAACCAGCAATGACGAAAAATCCAAAGGAACGAACAGAAGGAGCAGCAGCAGCAGTGGAAGAGTATATTGAAAATGACGATTGCAACTGAACTGGACAACCTCCTCTCACTTGTAACCCCTTCTTGGTTAACCGCTGCTCTTTGGGGAGAGAAACGTTTGCAGCAATTGCAAAGTTTAAAGTTTGCTTCACATCTGCAGCTGTGTGCACAAAGTTTCATTTGTGAAATGAAAAAAAATATTTCAAGTTTCATATGCAGGGTGAGTGTGTGTCATTTACAGAACGAGCCAGACCAAGCATCTCAGCCAGCCAAGCAGCACAGCCATTGACAGAATGGAAAGTTGTTGACTTAGTTTCCGCTTCTTTGTGTTGCCCCAGTGTTGCACATTGCTGCTGCATGCGGAGTGCACCTCTCCTCTATTCTATATCTCGCTCTCACTGACACTGTATGTGTGTGCGCTTTAGTCTTGAATGTCTGCGTGAAGGTAACACTTTTAATTATGTGCTTAAATTCAAATAATACTCCAACTTTTTACTGGCTTTGAGCAAAGTCTATTATTTAGTTCTAAAATTAAAATCCCCTAAATGTGAAACTAAAAAAATGCAATAAGAATATTATAAAACCTACCTAAACTTTGCTTTATTTAATTTTTTAAGTATATTAAAACCACCAAAAAGCTATTAAAGTGAAAATTTTCTCGCAACTTGCACTAAAACAAACTTTTTATTTAGTATCTACATTTCAAATTTAAATCATTTTCAGACCAGACATAATGCAAACGGTAGTAAAACATTTTCAGCAGTTTAGAACACGTAGAATCATCCATATGAGTTTTTCTATTGGAAACTTGAAAGAAAGAGTCTTTACTCTTCTGGACAACTTGCATTTTTGTGAAGTATGTGGCACGTGCACACACCAAATTGTAACACAAATTAATTATATTCATTAAATTAGGCATTTGGCAACCAGAAAATATTGTTGGAAATTCCAATAAAAAATGTGATTTCAAAATTGTTTTCTGTTCCAAAAAAATGTGCGATTTACTTAATAATTTTGGAAAGAGGTATACATATAATTTTCAATTGGGTAGCAGCAAGTAGAGAGTAGTAGAGCAGCTATATAATTTGAAAACAGGGAACAACAAATGGGATGGACTGCATGTGGCAGCGTGGCAATGTGGATATTACATGCGATAGCCGTTGCGGCCAGCCGCAGCAGAGTTTTTGTTTATATTGAGATTTTTTGGGCATCGTTTCTGTAATTTATTAAGCTTGCCATGAAACTGACTGCACCTTACCGCAAAATTGTCAACAGGCGGGCCTCACACACACACCCATGAGTACACAAACTAACATAGCCGCATATAAAGAGCGCCAGGCACGCACGTGTGCTGCAAAAAACGGAAGCGGAAACGGCAGTGCGGTCGCCTGTTGAGTGTGTGTGTGGTTGTGTGTGTGTGTATGTGTGTGTGTGTATGTGTGTGTGTGTGTGTATGTGTGTGTGTGTATGTGTGTGTGTGTATGTGTGTGTGTGTGTGTGTGTGTGTGTGTGTGTGTGTGTGTGTGTGTGTGTGTGTGTGTGTGTGTGTGTGTGTGTGTGTGTGTGTATGTGTGCGAGTGGGAGGGCTTGTGAGTGCCTGTCTGTTTGCATTGGTGTCTGTACGGGCCTCGACAAATATTTCATATGCTCGTGTGTCCATGTGTGTGTGCTTTAGCGGATGCAAAAGTTTGTTTCTGCAAATAAAAAGGATTTTGAAATTAGCAAGTAAAATATGCACACAAATGTCAGATGTACGTGTGTGTGAGTGTGCACAACATTAACGGAAACGAACTCTAACAGTATGTGGCATATTTAATTCATGTAACAACTTCAACTATATATTTAAAAAGTTTTTTTTTTCGGTTTTAAACACTTTTTGGGCCAAATTTAGAAAATATTTAAAAACATTGATTTCAAGGCTATCGATTGCAATAATTAATTCCATTTAATGGCTTCTAATTTGCGGTTTTATGATGCGTGGGTGTGGCACTCATCTCACACAGCACCAGCTTCAAATCAGATCCGTATAATCATAATCAAACCAGGCACTTGGTTGGCAGATGGGACAACTGCAGCTGACAGGAAGTTGCCTAATTAAAATGGCAAAAAGTCAAAAAAAACAGCAACAACAAAAATGGCAACAACAATGGCAACAACGTCATTGGCCATGTTCGTCGAACAACAGGCAATTGTCATGCAAATTTATGCGCCAACTGGACACAAACAAACGAAAACGCCCAAAGAACGCATCCACGACAAACCAACAAACCTCAACCCAGAGCCAGACCCCAAAACCAAACCAAGAACCCAAAAACTAAGCGTTCAAATTATGCAGAGCACATGCAGACACGCCACAGATACAGTTACAGCTGCACATCGATAGATACAGAAATAATTTCAGATACAGTTGACTTTTCCGTATTGGGTTCGTGAGGCACACGACATGCATGCGATAAAATGGATAATTCAGATGCTATTATCAGAAAATAAATAAAAATCAGTGAAAATAAGTGTGGAAAATAAGTGTTTATCAGCCAATCATTGCCTTCCACTAATTTATATATACAATTCGACATAAATTATTATTTCTGTTGTATTTTTTTTTTATTCATGGTTGCCTCATTTCCTCTGTAATATTTATGTTATAATATATAATATATGTATATATATATTATATATATATATATATATAAGCAAGACATAATATAATTACAACTATTTAAAATCAAAGATGAATGTTGTGTCGTGAGCGACACGCTTCCATCTCTAGTTGTTAGTTATTTTGTGTTGGTTGGGCCGATGATAAATTTGTTAGCCACTGTGCACTTGGCCAAATTGCAAATAAATTTTAATTTGATTAACGATTGTGTCGGGCTCATTTTTGGGCCTACAATTGATTGGTCTATACGACCATACAACCAGTTTCGAAAAGGCGGCTGCCGAATTAATTTGTATCTCTAGCGACAACGGCTTAATTGCAGTTAGCGTTACGATTCATTAACTTGGCAATGTGCCAAATGATGCGGTGGTCTTGGTTGGTTAGTATGTTATTGCATTTAAATCGCGGCTGATTCGCTTTCAATTCAGTTAACAGGTTAGCAACAGTGTTTGCCCGTTGGCGCTTATTATCCTTGTCACGTTCGAGGTCCAACGCGTCGCACTCTTGCTTACTGCTTGTTGTAGCTATTGTGGTTTTGCACGCTGCTGTACAAACAATTTGCTTGAGTGCTGCAATTCCTCGAAGGTAAATGCACACACTCACGCACAAGACTGGCGGCAAATCATCGGCTGGGTTGACTATCAGCTACACTTGGAAAGTGAGTGGCTTCAATGCCTAACAAATATTGAATTTGTTTGCATGTTTGTTCCATTTCCAGCGTTCTTGTTGACGCAATTGTTGCATTTGCATGCTCGGACGCGGCATTGGATGCCCGGATAATTAGATAATTACCAAGCGATATGCGCTGCGAGTGATTTCATCTGCATATATATTAACAATATGGCCTCAACAAGTGATATATCGTACACTAATATGATGGATAACGTAAACATTTATAAGATCAAGTCTGTTTTGAATAGGAGAGTGAACTTTGGACATTCTTATTGAAATAAAGAATTTAGTTAAGTTATACTTATTTTGAAATGCACAAAAATGGAAAGCTGCATTGCGCCACCGAATCACACAATATAAAATACACAAACATTTTACAATTTAGTTTTTAAATTTTTTCTTTTAAAATAATACTTTTTATAATTAATATAATGCATCTATACTTTTTGAATTTCTGTCCGGACTTTCAAATGAGCGCGTCAGTCGACGTTTAGTGGCAACGTCGGAAGTGATTAATGCTTTCTTATTGTAAATTTCCTCATTATTCACATGTCGACAAATGTCAATGAAAAGGCATAGATCAATGTTCTTTAAATGTTTGGCCAATCGGTAAGCTTCGGATAGCATTTCCTTTTGTCTCTCTAATTTTCCGAGAATTGCATGTGCTTTGCAGGCGATAAGAGCGCTCAAGACGGCCCAAACAAAGTTGTTGCCCTTCCGGGCCTCTGAAATTTCAAATGATTAAGCAGTCTGCGACTGTTACTCAATTACCCTTACCATCCATTGATTTGCGTGCCAGTAAGCAACAGGCATCAAAGGAATGATTATCCAAATTTGCCTGAGCCGCCTCATGATATAGATAGCTGCGTTCTATTGGATACTTGGCGAAACGCATGCGATACTCAAAACGAGCCATTCGTTTTCTAAAACGATGTTCCAATAAGTAAACAATAAAAGTATAAATACATCGATCTTACTTGTACAATTCTGCCATGGGATCTATGCTTTCCTGTCGTCTTATTTGCAAAATATTATCCTCTTTAACCGTTGAGAAACTAGCAGGTTCGATGGGTATATTGAACAATGTTAGTAAGCGTTTTCTCCCAGTTAACGTTTTCATGCTGCCTGAAAATTTGTATTCATTAATGCGGGCCAAGCCCAAATAGTTGTAGACCTCATTAATGAATTCAAATTTCCAAGGCATAATGCGATTTGTTTTAATTGTTACATAATCGCCCATTACCTCATCCACAAACTTAGTCAATTTCTTGAATTATTAAATACTATAAATATATATATATATTTATTCGATAAAATTTTAACTCACTTCTAGTTCCTGATTGCGTATCAGACTTCGAATAGTTCGTAGTATTTTGAACATATTTCGTTTCGTTTGATATTGTATGCGAAAGAGATTATCTTGCTCCTGCTGCAGATGTAAATACTTGTTGGGATGCTTTTTTAAATGACTACTGTACATGGGACAGCGAGCATGAAGCATTTTCTAAGTAAAATAAAATGTATATATATTTTTGCCATAGAAATATAGGCAGTCATACCGTGAATGTTCGCACTGTCTTGTAATTCTGTTCAGTAAGATTTTCAATTTCCTTCGTTGACTCAAGGCATTGCTGCAATAACAGATTTGGATTTCCGCGTACATCTTTAAGAAAATTAACGTCCATCCATGATTTCTGCAAATAAGTTTGATTGTAAATCTTGAATTGTCGTTTGCGACGCTGTATCTCTATTGGGGAGAGGAGCTCTTCCTGAATACATCAGAATATTAACAAATAATAGATCAGTGATAATTACATGAAACTTTTCAATTCATACCTCCTTTTCCAAAATGCTAAGCACATCACACTCGGGCTTCACAGATGTGGGCTTTTTATCCAGATGTGAAGTCATTTTGTCTATAAGTCTACGAATAGCCGGCGCAGCTTCTTCTTTAAGCGCATCATGTATATTGCTATTCACCTTTATCGAGTAAATTACTCAAAAGGATATCTACACTTAGGTTTCTACTAACCGTTCGTATATGCTTCAGCACAGGACTTTTTTCCTCGTTGTTAGGGCCCTGCAGGAGATCATGTAGATATCTCTTGGTTTGCTCAAAGTGATTGGATTCATACAGTGCAGAACAAATCTCCAAGTAATTTTTAGTACCCAATCGCGAGGGACTAGATTCTTGGAGGATTGCTGTAAAACGGAAATAAACATTTTCTAGTTAGCATTTTGGCTTATACATATATATAGAATTTTATGTAGATATATATATATATATATGATTCTCAACTTTTAGCTGTAATGCAATCTGTAAGTGCGTCAGGTGCTTGCGCCTGCAACCGTTTGATCCGACTTCGTTTGCTTAACGCAATTGGATCATTCGGCTGTATCTCCAGCGCTGCATCAAGGTATCGAGTGGCCGCTTTGAAGTTATGTTTGAGAGCTAAATAGTTGCCCCAATCGGTGTAGATGGCACGTAATTGATCGTCTGACCAGTTGATTATTTGCCAAGGCTCCAAATTGCGTTCCATGCTACCCGAGGGCACAATAATCTCTGTGTTCTTTAACATTACCGTTTATGCGTTAAAAATTGTTAGAAAATTGTATAAATATGCAAGTTAAAAAATTAAAAAAAAATGTATAATTCAGTTATGTAAAACCTAGTGTTTAAGAAAAATAACTCAATTTCTCTTGAATATTCAATCAAATTCTGACGAAAATCAAATGGTTGCTATATAAAAATATTTTTTAAAATAGCATTTATACATAAGAACTAATCGACTTTTAACAATTATTAAAGATTAACGATAACGAAATAAATTATGGGAAGAAGCGCTCGCTTTTTAACGTCTACAATGAACTTAGATTTCTACAAGAGTGCATCTCCACGTGTCTAAAATAGCCTGAATTTTTTACTATTTTTAAATATGATATGTATATTAAAATATGATCGAAATTGTAAATATTTGTTTGCCCTTTTGTCCATTTTGATCCATTGGAAATTGGTCTCATTTTGCTATTGTGAACTGCAGCGAATTTTGGCTCTGTTATAAGTTTTCAACAAGGGAAATACAAACAGATTGTTAACTGGTGCTGTTATACTCCAAGTGGGCATGTGTTTCAAGCAGCAGCATCCACCGCATGAAGAGGACTTCAATCTAACCTCCAGCTCACACACAACCCCGTCGTCTCGTTTATTGTGTCCGACGCTGTAGTTTTTGTTGTTACTGGTGTTGTTTGTATCCGTGTATCGTTGGGGCATTTATCAAGTGTCCCTTTGCTGGCTGGCGCTGCTGATGCCACCAGCACCTTCTGTTTGTAGTTGACCGACACTTGACATACTCCACGGCTGCAGTTTTAAAGTGCCTTTTCAGATGGCGATACATAAATTTAACAGAAGCAACTCATCGCATAGATCATGTGTTGCCTGGCTGCCTGCCTGCCTATGTCTACTGATTCCTCAAATGCATTTGAGATACAAACATATATGTACATAGCTAACAACCGCAGTTTGTGTGTCAACTGATTTACTGTTCGCTTGTAATAGAGACATGCTCCTCCTAGACATTGCCCTAGCACTGCGGTTAGGTCATTAAGTCAATGCCCACACAGACTCACAGACAGAAGAGAGAATTAACAAAAGTTACGCAGACAGCAGAAATTAATTAGATACACAATAAATTACTGGCATGCCAAAAACAGCTGATAGGCACAAATATAGATAAAATTAAAGAGCTGAAGTAAGTTTGAATATTTGCAAAATAATTTATAAATTACTGTTAAAGATTTTTAAGACGTTCATTTCATGTAAGCATTTTAATCAAATAAAATATTAAGAAAACAAGTTATATTAAAAAGTCTATGTGAAATTATTAATATTAATTATTTATAGTTATTATAATTATTAATATCTGCACATATTGTTAAATTATTATAACATCTGTACATATTCTTAACCATTTAACATATGCAAAAAGCAATAGAAAAATTGGATTTACACTTATTAAAGACTGAAATAACCAAATTTAATATTTTAATTTAATTGAATTAATTTATTTAGAAATTCAAATTCACCAAAAATTATCCGATATATGAAATATTTTCAACGATATGCTGGCCCTTTTATGTATGTTAATTCTGTGTAAAAACTTGAAAATACATTATTTATTATTATTCTTTTTAAATATTATTGTTATTATTGTTAACTCAGAGCATATAATTACTATAATAATCATCTAATGGCAACGTTTTATGAACTTTAGGGATTTATTTACAAAAACTCCTTTGATTAGAGTAAAAGGAAGATTGGAAATGAAGTACCTTTACTAACTTATTTACTTGCAGAAATAAATGTAGTTAAATCACAGAAATCACTGTGAGAAACGGAAGCTGATGTGAAAAGATGCGACAGAAAAAACCACAAAACACGGACACAGATTTTGCGGTCAAAAGAAACTGAAAGGCAAAAGTAAGAGCAAGTGCACAGCAAAGGCAACAAGAAGCATAATTTCCTAAAGGACTTAATTATTTTATAATAAGCACATAACACAAGCGAACTACAAGCCAGAATGAGACAACGAAAATGGAGGGATGCAGGAAAAATAAAGGAAGCCGTTTAAATGCAGCGCAAAAGTTACTAAAGTTTTTCCTCTCAGCAATCGGATAGCACAGCACAGGATAGAAAAAAGGAGTGGAGAGCGGGGCAGGGCAGGATAGGACTTAGGTAAACAGAGACAGCAAAAATTGCGAAAATGTTACAGATTGTTTTTATCTCGCTACCGTAAAAGGTTCAATCTCTCCCTCTTTTGTATTGCTCCCTGTATCTAACGTTTTATTATTATAAGGTGGAATACACTTTTTGAATTAATGTTGATTCGCAGAATTCTGCTGTTGTTATTAGTTACCTTTGTTAGCGTTCAATAAATGCCTTGGTATGAACACGAGACCACAGGTAAATGCAAAGAAATAGTCAAGAGTAAATGCTCTGCAGAAGGCCACAGTAGCTATAAGCCCTCCTTTAAGCTTTATTGTTCAGTTTAAAAAGGCATTTCTTTCATATTCAATAACAATTTTAATTAATTACAGAACGTTGACAAGGTAAGTCAAAAATAAATTCTTGCAATCTTGTTAAATACATTTGATAAGATATATATAGTATTTGAATTGTGTTTCATATTTTACTTGCGATGCATTTAGAAAAGTTATCCTTCTTCAATACCTTAAATATTTATTACAAGTTGTTTAACCTTGTTGTAATTTAGTACATAAAACCGAATGGATATTTGCACAAGCTCAAAGCTCTCTTTAGCATCATTATGGTACAACAGCATTCAGCGCAATCAAATTGGATGTGCATGAAATGTCATTACGCATACGCACTGATGGCCGTCGCAGACACGAAACAAACACTTAAACACTTCAAAAGCAATATAAATTCATTCAGCATATAGCAAAATGATGAGCAAACTATAAGCATAACCAATAAACTACATATGCACAGGCCAAATGCAGACAGCCAACAATAACAACAGCAGGGCATAAGTAAATGCTCAACAATTGATACTTTGCCAGAGGATCAGGCACACAGGCAAGGCCATTGGGAACAAATTCTACGAATGTATATATAAGGGGGATTGTCCTGGCGGTAGAGTGGGCCTACGAACAGAACATAGAATAGGCATAGAGCAGAGCAGCGAGCCAAATAGATAGTTAAATGCCTGCTCACACACTCATACCAAATGGCATTGGCAGAGCAGTGGTGTAAAAGGAAGATTGAAGAGAAACATCAAATTCATTTGAATTGCAAAACAAACACAGGCCGAGGCACAGAAATGAACTTAATCATGTTGTAAATTTACATAATTTGACGTGTGTACCAAAAAGAGGCAGCGAGACAACTGAATACACAAAATGGAATACAATAGAATATAATGGGAGAGAATAGAACAGCATTGATATATATGGCATGTTCGTATATATTTCAATCAGCAAGGTTATCAATTTGTTTGCTCATCACAACACAAATCGATTTTGCTAAATTATTATTTAAGGCCGACAAAAATTAAGATACAGAAATTATGTGATACACATATAATGGAAACATCTTAAGACTGTAGAGATAAACCGTGCTTCATATGATGTGAAACTTAAACTTTCTAGTTAATTAAAGTTGTATTCGATTTATTTATAAATATAAAACAATTTGAGTGGTCTGCGTGGGCTCAGAAGTAACTGAAGGTTTCTTTCATTTTGAAGAAGTCATGTGAGCAATTCAATTGTTTTCTGTACCTACTTCTCTGCTTATTTCAAGCACTCTGCAATTTGTTGCAATAAGTATACATATAACTGCAGAAAAATCATATTGCAATGCAATATACGATTGTCGCGCAATCTGACCTGATGAAACTGAATGGTTATGGCCATGATTATATGCATTACCAGCTGCAGTCTGCGTCACGCATAACCTTTAATTAAATGGCCATAATATGTGGAATGCACAGCGCATATTCCATATTGCGTCTCCACTTGATAGCTGCGTTTAGTCGCGACTAACTGGAATTGGGGCTCATTATAGCTGGCAGCCATCGTACCTATAAAAGAAAAGATGACTCGTCTGGCAATGGGCACTAACGTCATTTGAGCTCATTATACCTGACGTCGGCAGTAGACAGCCTTGGATTGTGTCCTTAGGTAATCAGATTGCGGTTGCTTATTACAAAAGTTGTCTTTATGACATACAAATTTAATGGAATGCCTCGAGAATATAAGCTTTGATTTTCTTGAGTAAATATTTTAATTCATAGCATAATAGTATGTACTCTACATTTTACATATACACATATACCATGTTCAACCCTATCCTCAAAATACATCAATTATAATAGATAAAATATAATTATAGCTATTTATGTATACATTTCTATTAACTACAAACTTAAGAATGGTGTTAGTAAGTAACTTAAGAATGGTGTTACATCATATATAGCGAATAAAATATGAAGACTTAAGCCCTCTGCTTTAATTTCATCATTTGATTTAATTGTCTTCATACGATTTTACTAGAAAATAACTTACCAAAGATTTTGTAATAAAATCCGAATGTTTAGTTGCCTCCTCAGCTAATTTTCATAATTAATATGGCACATTATGTTGCCAACTTAAAAGCTTGTCTGCTAATAGAAACTAACTGATATTTTCCGTTGCTCGCTGAAGGGTGGCACTTGATAATTAAGTTTAAATTAAAAGTGCGCTTAACGGTAGAAAACTTTAGTAGTTGACCAGCTGCTGGGCACACTGCGAGTGTTTGCAGTTTAATGGAATTTTTAATTTGTGCTTCAGTTTCCATGCTGACATTATAACACATTTTTTATTACAACAACATTATTAAGAATGCAAAGACATTAAGCAGTTGCTTTCGCCTTGGGTTTAAGGCATCCAAGCAGCAGTTCGAGCAGAAACACTAGCGTGCTAGCCAACATGGCTAGGACCATAAAAAAAAGAGCGGGTGCAAAGTGTGTTAGGTCCACCTCCACCTCGGCATCGTTGACCATCGAACAGTCCAGCTTGGGCACTGTCCAAACCTTGTCATTGTAGCCCATTAGACCCATTTCGTTTAGATAGAGCATGGCATAGTTGAGATGCTCACGCCAGGGCGAGCTCTTAGGCATTACGGCACCAGACAAATAGGGCGGATTGAACATAATCTCTTGTAGCTCACAAAACTCATTCTCGTCCAGCTGCATCTGAAGCAGGCGGTACAAGCGATCGATGGCTGCGTGGAATGCGAACCCGCCTTGTTTAATTCTCTTTGCGCCTTCTTCTATAGATAAAATATTGTTCCGTCGATCTCGACAAATGCGCTGCCTGTATATGTCTTGCACCAGCGGATTGGTGGTTTTGTTAAAAACGTCAAAGTTATAGCTAATTTCCTCCATGCCAATCTCCAGATTGCTCGCGAATAATGCTTGCATATTAACAATGCTCCGCGGCGTATCGGATAACAGGGAACCCACAATGAAAGCACCATAAAACTGCATCAGCATGAAACTAAAGATGCAAGTGACGCTAATCAGAATCCGTGTGGATGGAAGCTGGAATTGATCCGTTGCCGGTCCCTGTTGCAAAAAAGTTTCCAGTATGGTGAACCACACAAAAGAAATCTCGTTTTCCACCGGCTTCTGCTGATGTTGTTGCGGTTGCAATTGCTGCCGTTGCAGGTGCTGCTCTAGACGTACATTCAGCAGCAACATAAATGCACTACCCACCATCAGAGCCATCACGCACCACCACACTTGTGGGCTGAGTGGCTCAAAGAAAATGTTGCGTATGCTGTTGCGGCGCGGATGGCGAAACAAAAAGTGTATGCTGCAAGCAGAGTGGAACAAATATAAAAAGAGGTGTGTCGACAAAATTTGGCAACAAAATCAACATAAGCCCAGGGATAAAAAGTTTGCTCAACTGTTGTTGTAAACTGATAAATGTTTGATTTACAAAAGTTGACGTAATGTGTTTAGTAGTTTTCTTAAAAAATGGGAAAAAAAATTCTAAAAAAAATCTAAAAACGTTTTGCACAAAATTTACCTTGTGGGAACATACAAAAACCTCATATTTTATTTATCGGTGCAATGTAGAAATCGTTCGAGGAAGATTTTTGGGCAAAAATAAAAATATACTTACAGTTGAGTGTGTAGCAAAGGGGTGTACTGTATGTAACTTTGTCTGTCTGGCAGGTATCTAAGAGGACAAACAGTAAAGTGTGCAACGCCACTTGTAATATGACCCATAACTCCCGTCCAGCTGCCATTTGGCAGAAGTTGTCCCCAAGTCGTCTGATAGCGCACATCCAAGCTAAAAGTAACTGTGAATGTGGGCTCAAGCGACTCGCAAATTATGATTACCTCAGGTTATACATTCGAGCCATTAACACAAACAGCTGATATGTTTTGCGCTGCATAGGATCCAGTTGCAGCATATCCCAATTGTTGCTCAGGTAGCTCATAGCATCCATGCCCGTCGGCTTCTCAATCAACTATAGATGGATAGACAAGTCTATAGTTGACCGGATGTGTTACACACGTGCCACAACTTACCGCCGTGCTGCCTATCAGTGTGATGTTACACAGGTTGCTGCGACGTCGCAACCAGCTGTCACTGTAGTTCGCCCAGATCTGATACCCACCGGACAGGCTCCAGCTGCCCTTGGGCTCCACGCACAATGGCGACTGCTTACCCATTTTGTAAACATCATAGAGCAGCCAACTCATACTGTTTGTCAAATATAATACAAATGACGCATTACTATTACGTGGGTATCACTGAGATTTCAAGCATTGTGAAAAATGTTCTATATTCTTACAATATCATTTTTTTAAAAACTTTTTTATATATAAAAAAAAAATATATATATATATATATGTAACGAATGGGATGATAGTGCTGTTGGGTGGCAAGGCTGGTTAACTGGCTAACTGATCTAATAGCAGCATAAGCATGAGTCGTAGAAAATAAGTCGTAGCCGAGTATCTAAAGTTGTAAAGTTGTCAAAATAAGTCGTTGTTTTATAAAGTCAATACTCACAATTCACTGTATATACTTACAATTATAATATTAATTATAAACATGACATAATCAGTCCTACATCAATTTAATATATTTTCATATTTGTATGAAATTATATCAATTAGTATATACAATGATTAATTTTTTAAATTATTCTATATTGTGTGCACTTTCAGAAACATGCCACTCGTGTGCTACTTACTTGTCCGATTGTGGCCATCGCATCGCCACTGTTATATCTGCATCAATGTCTATGTTATAAGCAGACAAATGCTGTCTAATGATGTGCTCATCCGTCCGATTTGCCAGTTTGCTACCCAGCATGAGCCATGCTTGGGTACTGTTGAAATAGCCCTCTTCGGAGGCAGCCCAATAGACAGAACGCTTAATGTGCTCACTCTCAAGGACGTCGACAAGCACGCCAACGCGTGGTGACTCATAGTAAAATAATTTTTGAAAATTTAAACCCTTTTGTGACGTGAAAAACTGCAAGGTATAGTTGGAGAACAATCTATTATAATTTTCAATTTGCCTGGTCCGGTTATGTCCAGGCAGCAGGAGCAGTGCATGCTTCAAGTGTTGGGCGCGAAGAAAGTCCTCGAAGGCGAGTAGCTCATTGGAATTTATGTTTTCAATTTGCGCGCCGCATATAATTCTTGTCGAAATTAGAAAAATCCATAGCATTATTTTCACTTGCAGCTTTATCATTTTATATGGCTCACTTTCAACTTGGCCAACTTATTGTTAGACAGCTCTGAGATTGTTTGTCCAGCTGGTGTGGCTCCTGTCTCCTTTTATAAGGCACTCGAGCCCTGCAATAAATGCTCGCGCATGTATAATAATGATTTATAATTTATGCTTTTTCTGTCAGTTTAGTGCAGTACCATTCTATCCTGTGTCACGCAGCAATTTGCGCAACTGACACGAAAATTGTGCGTTAACTGCAAATGCTAAACGACAGGATAATTTCTTAAGCACAGGAATAATAACCGCAAATATATGTTTGAGCCATTAAGTACATGCTGTATATTGCAAATACTTGAAGTGGATATTCCATTATTCAGCTTGTAATATTAACTCTTACTATATGAGTGAAAGATATGGATGTACGCTTATAAGATCGGTGTATAACATGTGATATGTGATGTAACCACGAATGAATATAAAATATAAGGAATATTTATAACCGTTTCTACGAGTATGAAATACTTTATAACTATTAAACTCGTGAAAATATACAACAACAAAAAATGCAAGCTTTAAGATTTTAAATTTATATTTCAGTCTTAAGGACCAAGCAACTACACACGACGCATTAAACAGGACAAATCTGCCGGCATTAGCGTGACAATATCCAACTGCAGCCAGGAAGCCAGGAGAAGCAACGACAAAAACGCGTGTTAACATGGAAAGAAACGAAGAACCTTCCTGACTTACTAAAAGTCCCAACCAGAGCAAGCGAGTGTGTGTATATGTGTGTGTGTGTTTATGGCAAGACACAAAATATAGCAGGGCAAATTTGGTGAAAGTTGAAAGCAAATCCTAGAGCTTGCAACTTAATTTCATGGCATGCGGCTGCCGCGTTGCATGTAGCAACTTCATTCGGGCAATTTGTTTCACGACAGCTTGCCACGTGCCGCACAGAGTTAGAGGGAGGGCGATAGGCAGTCCACAAAGATGCAGAGGTAGCTGGAAGTCTTTAAGAAGAGCAACGAAACCAAAAAAAAAAAAAAAAAATTGCATTTAATTTGCTGACGTTTTGGTGAAATCGTCTTTGCTCCTATTTCTGCTGGCTGTTGTTTGGGGGCGAGGCTGTGTAGTTGTTTTAGCCGGTAATGACGGAAACATTTGCTGCAAGTCCGCAATGAAAATGCAGAGCAAGAAGTAGTCCTTGCGCGGAAAGCTTCAACATTTTATCGCAGATTTTTGCATGAAATATGCGAGGTGCTTTCGGAGCCATTGCAAGGAAAACACGAATTTTTGCTATGAATGCGAGCACACACCCATAACGAAAAATGGGCAAAATTGACAAAAAGACATGCGAAATAAGCAAAAGCAACGTTTAAATATTTCAGTTTAAATTTTGTTTGAATTGCGCTTATGCCAGCTTTATTTTTTCTTGTCTTTCTGTATTTATCTCAATGTATTTTTTCTTTTGACATTTTGTCACATATGTCAGAAGCAACGTGAACAAATTTGGCAAAACAAAACAAAAAATTGGAAAGTGGGCTGAAAAACTGTTTTCATTTAATTTTTCATATGATAAATATACGATGTCATGCAGTACATTTCATCAGCCCTCCCTTGTCGCTACCTTTGCCGGCGGCACAATTGTGTTTCCGCTGTTTGGCCTGGCACGCGCACATTTTGTTGACTGATTTGGCAACTGACTTGGTAAGCACTGAGCTCTCTGACTGTTCATAAATGTTAATTCCTAGCCGGCAAGCAACGAAATTCTTCTTGCTTGCGGCTTTGTGTGATCATGCGTGAGTCATCTGAGTATTATCCGTGTTCCGACAAGGCTGAATGCAATTTCACAAAATTCCAAATTGGTATTGCTATTCACACTTACTCATTTTATTTTAATTGTTAATATACATTTGGAATTTATTTTAATTGATTTTATTTAATGGCCACGTATCATTTCATATTTAAGCATTTGTACATTTTAGAAATGCCAACATTTTGCTTAACTTTTCAGAGCATTCCAAAATTACAATTAAAATAAAGCACAACAGTTGCCATGCATAAATTCTCAACAATGATTTCCCTAAAACTCAAATTTACCCAAGGCCGCTCAAACAGAATTATTTAGTAATGGAAAATGTTGAAGACCCATTCATAATAACAACATTTTAATGTTGAAAAATAAATTTTAATTAATATCACAATAACGGACATCATTATAATAATATGCTTATTTTTCATATTATTTTGCAATGCTTCCCCTCACAATTATTTTGGCATTTCGAGTGCTAGGATTTTAATTGTATGTGAGCGTGCGAAAAGAAAAACGAAAACAACAATTAAAAGGAAAGGCAAATCCCTTGCAGCTATGAACCTAAAACAAAATGATTTAAAGAGCCTGCAGACTAGAGCTTTCCTTTTCGCCACTGCGAATTATTCCGGGAAAAACTGAAATTGCTTCAATTAAGCATGGAAATATGAAAATCAACAAATGTTGCTAGGTGCAAAACTAAACTTCAAGAAAAAGAAACTAATAAAAGAAAGGGCCCAAGGAAATTTAATTTGAATTTTCGCAGCCGAGATTTTAGGAAAATTTTCATCGTAATCACGTTTTACAATGTGTTAGTTCTGCATTTTCATTATTATTTAATATTCGCGTGAACCTATTTTGCCACTCTACAGCAGCGAAAACAAATTCCCTCGACAGTTGGGCTGCATTAAGTCAACTCATTATGAAATTACTGCTGGAAAAGGAAAAAGGCGATGGGAGAAGCACCAGAAAAATAAGTAGAAAAATCGCGATGTTGATGACGGGCAGCACGACAAGACGGCAAAGAAAACAAATTAAATTTAATCGATTTGTGAAAAGCTGCCAGCCAGCACAGACGGGCTGCAACAAGAAAAACAACGGAAAACTAGAACTTGGCCAAGTCGCATAGTAAATTAATTGAAGTGCTTACAACGAGGTCCAGACATACCAACAACCAACAAGGGGCAAGCAACACCATCAATGGCAATTTGGCGTGACGCTCTAAGCGCATTCTAAACAAATTAAAATTCAATTAAAAAGATGAAATGGCATTTCCAAGCTTAATACGCAGCACCAGATCTTTGCCGCTGTAACACCCACAAATGGCTGACGAATGCATTTATCATATCGTGCTTTCATCCTAGTCAACACTGTGCTCCCGGGCTGAATGACATTTGTTTATTTTATTTTCTAATAGAAATTATTTTTCATTATGATTTTTACTTGGAACAAATATTTATAAAGTATAAAATTAAAATAACTGATTTGTACATTTGAAACATATCTACAAAGCATCCTAATCCTAATTTTAAAAAATAACAATGTTATCCTATATATTGGCTAATATTTAACTTGCATTTACTAATGTTTTTGGCAATGATGGATGGTCATCTTTGTAGCACAGTGCAATGTAAGGGAATTCGCCTAATATTGATAGAGTTTGCAAGCACGCCAATGTTGATGCTGATGCTGACGTTGTTGGTGGTGCCGCCGCTTAAGCTCAGCTAAAAGGCATCGCATTCAATTCATTTAGCGGCAGCACGTTATCGCAGCCGTCAACCATCATCAGAGTCATCTTCGTTTGCCATCCCCGCTTGCAAGTGGCAAAAGCAACAACAGCAAACAAATCTCTCGTTGTTAGGGTGGTGTCATTATGCTTCACGCAACTTGAGACCTGAAGCATCGTTTCCAATTACGGGCGCTGCCTCCAACAGTTTGCCGCTTATGATTTTTGGTCAGACGCTCGGACTCCGGCCTTTGCCATTTTCAAGTCGCTACTTCGCACTGCCCCTGCTGTCCCTGCTTTCCCTGCCACCCATGCTCACTTGCTGCTAGTCATGGTCATTGATGTTGCTCTCATTATGAACAGTGTTGGTCGCTCTTGCTGGCCGCCAATTGCCATTTCGTTTTCTGTCCTTCCAAGCGGTATTAAAATCTGGCAGCTCTTCTCAGCCCATTACAAATTATGCGCCAGTTGCGCTATGATTTTTTTCTGCCTCTTTTACTTGTTTTTGATTATGCCATTTGAAAAGGGTATTTTAATTTTGTCCAACGCACTAAACGATTTTTCGTTGACGCATTTTTGTCGTTTTTATTAATTTTTTGTTCATCATAGTAATCAAACTTATGTTATTTAATTTTCATCTAAGGTTTAATAAATTTCTTAATAAATAAATGTAGTCCATAAAAACTCCACTGATGGAGTACTTAGCCTTTAACACTTTTCATTTTAAAAGGTTTTTTGCGTTCGTTCATTTTAAATTGAGCAAATGACATCAGGATCCTGTTGCTGCTCACTGCAATTCTATCTGGTGAGACTAAATGTCCTTTATATCAAAGGTTGTTTTGTGGATGACTGAGTTTCAGATGTCCAAAGTTGAAGTTTATTCGGTGTCGAAGCGTGAAATTGTCTGAAGTTTGTAGGATTGCCTTCAGTTGCAGACTGCGAACTTTAATTGGAGGGTACAGCAAATATTTTTAATAGATATTATTTTCTCACTACTTATTTAATTTGCTAGATATTTCAGTGCTCGGCACACAAAATGGCAGCGCTGAATGCCCTTTTGCTGCCACTTGCCATACTTAAATTGCCACTTGCTGAGTTGGGAACTTGAAGCATTGATCCGACAATCATCTTTGTCCAATTAAAGTTCCTGCGCTACAGCACTTGAGGCAATTAAAGGACAGGACAATCGTCGTGCTGGCATGCCGTGGCGCCTCTATATCTCGCCACAACCAATAATAAGGCAGCTTAATTTAAAATGTAGCCCTTTTTGCTGGAGGCGGTGACCGCAACGCCTTCTCTTGCCCCGACCTGTCCCTGGCACAGCTATTCATTGATGAAAAAATATTTTCTTTCCGGCGTCGACAACGATGCTGACGACAGCAAGGCAAATAATTTTTACAAATTATACGCTCACATGCCAACTGCGCAGGCAACACAAATAATAGAAATCTGCGAAGAGTGGATGACTTGCAGATACCCCGTTTA